CACCCTGGGGGGTGCCGAGGACATGAGGTGGAGGATGTGGACCTGGAGCTGTTTAATACATCTGTGCAGCTGCGGCCCCCAGGCACAGCCCCAGGGTGAGTACCTGAAAGGAGGTTGCGGAGGGAGGGTCCTGCTCCTGCCTTTGCTGGCATCCTGACTGGCTGCCTCAGGTCTCTGGGTCCCTGGATTCCTTACCCACTTTTTTCCCCTCCTCTTGCTCTCCAGTCCAGAAACAGCAGCCTTCATTGAGCGCCTAGAGATGGAGCAGGCCCAGAAGGCCAAGAACCCCCAGGAGCAGAAGTCCTTTTTTGCCAAATATGTGAGTGGGGCTCCCCTGCCCTCCCTGCCCTCTTCCCTACAGGTCCTGCCCAGCTGGCTGGGCCTCCCTTCTCCTGCCCAGATGACCTGTGCTTGTCTCTGGCACCTGGGCTGAGTCAGGGACGAGGGCTGTGGACTCCTGCYTGTGTCAGCTTGTGAAACTGTTCAGAGCTGAGTAGCCCTAGGAGCCCAGAAGGCCCCAGCGAGGGATTCGCGGGCATAGTATTCACAGGCTTATTTGGTAGAAAAATAGTGTGGGGTGGGTGGAGGGCACAGGCTGGGGCAGGCTTCTGTTAAGATGGAGAGGCAGGGATGGGCGGAGGTTTCAGAGGAGTGAGGGAGGCTTCGGGGGGCACCCAGGAAGGCAGAGAGGGGTGGATCTGGGGAGTGTTGCTCAGGGACATAAGGGTGGAGGTGGCCAGGAATGGGCCCAGGGCCCAGGAAGGAAGGACCTGCACTGCTAGAAGCAGATCTGTGGTCAGAGGCCTAGAGGCCTAGAGGCTGAGGTGGGCGGGAGGCTGGGGAGGTGCTGAAGAAGCAAGCCTTAGTAGAGAAGGTTGGTTTCATCCAACCTTCTTGTCCAATGGCACAGGCCCCCAGGCAAGGTAGGGGACAGCAAGGTCAGTGTTATTCAGGTTGGGAGGGTGCTGGTGGCCTGTGAGTGCTGAGCACCTTCCCTGAGGCCCTCAGCAGCTCCGGAGTCAGGGTAGTTCAGCTGCAGGAAACAGAGGCCCAGAGAGGTGGAAGCTGGACTGCTCTGTCTGCTGCTTGCTTGAGGGCCCACCCTTCCCTGAGGCCCCCGGAGCCCACTGACCTGCGCTCCCCTCCCTCCTCAGTGGCACCTCATCCTGGGGGGGGCCGTGTTGCTTACGGCCCTGCGTCCTGCTGCCCCGGGTCCCGCGCCACCACCGCAGGAGGCCTGAGTGAGGACCAGACCCCTTCCCGCCTCCACCCTCCTGTACCCTGCCGGCCCTGCCCCTGCCTGTAGTGCTGTAGGGGACCTGGGCCCCTCCCCTCACGCGGTCCCCCTCACACCAACCCCCTCCCTACCCTGGGCAGAGTGGCACCCACACTTACTTCCCTTTCTGTCTCTGTTTGTCCCCCTCTGCCCTGCAGTGGATGTACATCATTCCTGTTGTCCTGTTCCTCATGATGTCGGGAGCACCAGACGCCGGGGGCCAGAGTGGCGGTGGGAGTGGGGGTGGCAGCGGGGGTAGTGGCCGGTAAGCAGCACACCCTCTTTACCCAAGGACTTCCTTTACCCATTCTCCCATGT